AGATGCCAGCCCTTGCAGAGGGCACCCCATTTAAATGAGTGTTGAAACCACAGGGGTATTTTTGTCCGGTGCTTGCATATTGCCATCCAGAGGAAAGAATCACTCCAGGCTGGAGGGTGCAGCTCAATGCCAGATTCATACCGCTGTGAGCAGCCATCCAGCCAGGGCTATGCTTCCAGCAACTTGTGCTCTCAGCTGCTCCAGCACCTGGCCATCTGAAACATTATCCTGAGTAACTGGGATGTCAGGAAAAGCTACACTTGCCCTGGGGCTCACCACTGCTGGGGCTCACCACTGCTCGGCTGCACACCAGCTGTGCACTCAAGGATGCTGGCAGCACAGGAGTGGAGCAGAGCAGGCAGAGGGGCTCTCACCCACAGCAAGGGAGCCAAGGTGCCCTGGCAAAGCTGCCTTCCTCGGTGCTTTGTCCCTAGTCACAACTCGTTGCTAAAGCTGCTTTCAAACATGTCTGTCAAGCTGCAGGGGTGACTACCGCGGCTGGCACTCACACATTACCGTGCGCCTGGGTCTAAAAATACAGTTAAAATTTTGCTCTTGAGGCGTATTGTAAAAATGTCAATTATAAGGGCTTTTGCACAATAGGGAAGCAGCTCCTGCCGGGCTGTAACTCAGTCCCTGCTCTGAGGAGTGCCTGCGTGCGGCACTCACAGGTGAGCTGGAAGGGGAGGCGGGATGGAAACCAACCACAGGCATTATAAATCACTGTGCTTTACAGGCAGATTACTTCTCCTTAGATCAGAGGAAACAAAGTACCCAGGAGGGGATGAAAATCTAGCTTTTGGGAGGTTATCATGGCTTTAGCCCAGAACATCTGCCAACGCCGGTGTCAGCACGAGGCAACGAACACATGGCATGAATCCGGGAGTATGAAAGATGTGTCACTGCAAGAAGAGGTAGGAGAAAAACAAAGCAAGCTGACAGCTGACATCCTGTGCCATAACCCCAGAAACTGTTAATATTTACTAAATTAACAACTAATATAACCGATGACAATCTCACTCCTCCTGGTTGTCATGAGGATATTAACAGTTCCCACCCGCTCCAAACTGGAAATATTATACCCATCTCCGGAGCTCCTGCTGCTCAGCACACGTGGGGACGGCACAGACTCACCCTCTCGGCTTTCGTACCAGCACTGAGCCATGCGCCAGCATTGCCGGGGCTGGAAATGCCTCCTGACCTCACTTTGCTCCTCTGGCAGAGCAGGAGGAAGGTTTCTACCTCTTCCCCAGAGGTAGAGCCCAGCACTCAGCCCTGTGTGTGGTGGGGAGAGCCTGGAGGAGGAGGATGGAGGGGATGGATACAAGGTGCTGGAGGAAGGAGAGGCGAGGGCCACACTGGCTCCGATCGCACCTCCAAACAAGCTGCCATCTCAGGAGAAGTGCCCATGCTGCTGGTGTGATTTGCAGCTCTAAGGCTGGCAGCTAATTGATGAACAGATGCTACAGTGTCATTTCCTTAATAGGAAAGACCTGTTTAAATCCAAACTAAAGATGCTTGAATACCAGTGACTCAATGGGAAACGTATTTCCAGACTAACAATCATAAAAAGGTAAAACTTTGGAATCTGCGTTGTTGCCCACAATTTTTTTTCAGATAAGAAGAAAAACAACAGCAGTGCCCAAGTTCCCAGAGCTGAGATTGGTTTTGGTTGTGGAGTGTTTGGTTTTTTTAAACTGTTACCTGTCTACTAGGAGGAGTGCAGGAGGCAATACAGGGTTAACAGGCACTGTAAGTACAAGTAAACTGTGGATAGTGCCTGCACATGCGGGATTTCTGCCTTCATTTTGCCCTATCCTTAGCAAGGCGCATTAATTCCCCAGGCTACTCTTTGCAATGGCACAGCATATTCGTAATTTCAAAAAGTTTTCTTTGTCATGGTGCACTGTATGCAAAAACATTACCAAACTCTTTCCAGCTCACTGTATGCAAAATTAAACTAGAGAATTACTTGCATTGTTGTTTTCAACGAGCTCCCAGGTGCTGGAAAGCTGTAAAAAGCAACTTTCCTTCTCACAGGAATCATTTCCTCCCCTTGAAGTGGCACAGTGTTGGCTGTGCGAGAGGTTGGCCCAAAGAGGCAACCTGTAACAGTGACAGGGAATGAAGGGATGGCAAAATAGTCCTCTCAAGGCATCCTGCGATCAGGAAATCTCAGTGTCAGCCAGGCCAGTGACATGGCACTGACCAGAGGAGCAGAGAGCTGCCTTTACAGAGCTCTGTGCTCCAGTGCACAACACAATTGCTTGCCTCGGGGCAGAACCCAAGGGATCACTGGAAGGAGCCTCAGTTTGATGGATCCACTGGAGAAATGACCATTGGGACTATGAGAGGGACCATCACGAGCTGCGATGCTCATTAACTGGTTCCCTGCAGTAGGACACAGCAGCCCCCTTCCTTCAAGTACAGTGGGGAAATCAGCGTGTCCCAGTAACACGAAACGAATCATTTTTAAATATTAAAAAAGCACCAGCTCTAGAGAACAGATACCTAAAAATCATCACTCATGTTCAAACTGTTGGGTAGCTTGCTCTAGGAAGCTGGTACTTTTTTAAAAACACTAAAACATTAGCATATTACATCCCAGCTGGTTTGCTTTTCTTCCCCATGTCTTTTACCCTGCCCTGAGCCTCTGAAGAGCACCCCTTTCCCCCGTTTTGTTTCTGTTTGTAAAGCTTTATACGTTTCATTTTTTCCATCTTCTCAGATCCTTATCTTTCTATTTTTCATCTTTTTTTTCTCAAGACACTTCTTTTCTCCCCATCTGCCACTATCTCCAGTACAATACTTCTCCCATTAGGATTTCTTTTATCCTTATTATCTTATGCCTTTCACTTGTTCTTCCCCAGACCCTTCATCCTGCTTTTGCTTGTCAAAACTGTGTTTCTTCCTCCTTCAGGGGGGAAGAAGTGGGAAGGTTGGGTGGATTTTTTTGCTATGAACGAACACCCAGGAATGCTCCTCTCAATACTTGGAAACCCTGCAGAGGAGAGCTTGCATGAGTCCTTCAACACTTTCAGTTAATGGCAGTCTGACTAATGCCTGAAAATCAGCAGCTTATTTTAACGTGGTGCTGTAGCTTCCCACCACCACCACAAGCCTTGCCCAACAAGCTTTTATTTTTATATTAGAGACTCTACTCCATGCTTTGAAATCCCTGTAGCCCCACAGCGACTCCTCTCTTTATAAACACCAAGACACAGAGCAGGTGACAGACACAGTCTTGGACACCACCAGATGCTTTTGTCTCTGGCTGGATTTGTGTTTATATCAAAGGAGAGCCATACTGCTCACAGAAAAACATGTCCAAGGGTACCCAGGGAGATTTCAGAGGAGCGGTGAATCCAGTTTAGCTGGAAGCCAGCATATGTAAAACATCTTCAAGCCTGAAATTAGGGGTCTATCCACAGCTGCCAGAATCTGTCAGAAGAGCAGCAGGTCAGCCCTGTGGGCATTGCCAGCCCATAGCATTCAGTGCCAGCAGAGGATACTGGGGGAAGGATCTAGAGCCTCTTCCGGATAGATGTGCCCTTGCTATTTATTTTGTTCCAAAAGGAATCTGCAATGGTAGTTTGGGGATCCTCTGACATTTCACTGGCATTTCTTCAGGGCTTTTTGAAGCACGATTATTACTGTCATTAGGTACCCTCACGTGTTAATGCCAGCACTAGATTTAATTGTGTGCATTCCAGCCGGGGGCCAGTTTTTGTTGCGAATTCTTAACATGTACCCAACCTAGTGCCTTCAAGGGCCTGTTTCAGTTGGACCTGTTCCCCTAGACAGATAATTTAGGAGGTCTGGAAAATCCTCTGCAGAGCTTGTGACAGATAGAACTGACTGTTTCTGACAAGTCTACCATTTTTACTTATTTCCATCTGCCTATCAAGACTGCCTCATTCTTCTCAAGTACCAAAGACCACTTAAAATGTGTCTAAAGCTTGATGCCAACTTCCTGCTTGCCAATTTAAAAAATCTGTTGCAAAATATATGTCAATACATTTATTCCCAGACTAAGGCAGTCATGTATTAAATGCTGGGGTAATCTTAAATGCGATCAAGAGGCTGGAGCTGATAACAGAGACTTGAGATACAAAATGGCTTTTTTAGAAAATATAATTTCTAGCATGAGATATTTTAAACCTTTTCTTCTCTCACTGAACACCACGGGCCTGTTTTGGCAGTCTGGGTGTATTTCCTGGCTTGCTGTCCGGATGGCAGCCGAAACTCGGTGATGGGTTGCTCAGGCATGAAATTCATAAAATTGGAAATCAAGGGCAGGAAGGTCCTGGCACGAGCAATCTAGGTATGAATAACTGTTCTTGTTCCTTGAGTTTCCTGGTTAGCTTCTCCTCTGCTACGACTAAAACTGTTTGGAAATCACTGTCTGTAGATTTTAGGTTTTTCTTCCGTGTCAGTTAAGACCTCAAGCTATTTGGGATGTTAAACAATTTGTGGCTTCTGAGCTTAGTTATGGTGCTGGCTTTGTACAGATAAATATAGAACCTGTGGCATTTTCAAAAGCCATTTGGAACAGCTCTTCAATACAGGCACTTTCAGTACAGATTAAATACATTATTTGGGTTTTCTGTCTAACAAAAAAAAACCCAACCCTTAAAAAAAATGGCAGAAATACCATTTTTGTCAAATGACAAAGTTCTCTTTACTCAAATTGGGGCTGGCAATTGACAGCTCTTTACAAAGACAATTTTTTCCCTTTCCTCTCTACCTTCCCCTACTCCTTGATTTCAAAATAACCTTCAAGACAAAAAAGCAGGACATAGCAATGCAAAAAAGAAATACAAACCTCTTAAAATTTTTTACTCCTGGAACAGAATGCTTTACATTTTGACTAATTTGTATCTGATAAAATGCTAACATATTCCTACACAAGAAATTAACACATTGCAGGAAACTGGACATACCCGTTCCTCAAGAAATTCACTATTCATAAGTCCGACCAAAGAAATCGAAACACAATACAAAGAAAGACCTTTATTAAAATCACTTGGAATATTATATGAAATTCAATATTGTATAATATAGGTGCAAACCCCCTGATATTAACAGGACGTGATACATGTGAAGAGAGGACATTAATATACATATAAATAGAAAAGCTAAAATGCGTTTGACAGTGATATATTAAATGGCTACATAAATGTGACCATGATTAGAGGAATATTTAATTTTGTGTTCAGCAGTATCTTCTAAAGCAGTATACATAGAAAATTGCTTTTACTGCTACTGTCTGCTTTCTTATGAGTAACGGGAGATGCATAGGAATATTACAGGCACATGCAAAAGCAATGTAAAAGACATAAAAACAGAGGCAGAAGCCAGAGACTTATTTGTTCTTGGCTGCCAGAGGCTTACGGCTGATCTTCTTTGACTTGTCATTGTTCTTCTTTGGAGGTTCAGGATTCGCCTGCATGTGTCTACCATAAAGACTGTAAGGAAATGAGACAGAATATTTGTGATATAACCATTAAACACTAGTTTTTGCTCTGCAGCATGTTAAGCAATGCATCTTGTAACTAGAAATTGAAAAAAAAAAAAAGGAAAGTAAGTATACTTATTTTGTCTCAACACTGAATTTTCTATTAGATCTGATGACGCAACCAATAATATTAGGGCTTTTGTGACTTATCAGGAGGGCAACTTTGGGAAGAGCAGGCCTTTGGAGCAGTGAAGGAGCAATCAGTTTTGCTTCAGAAACTAGCAACCTTTATTCTGCAGTTATGGGATTAAGGCTCAGAAGGCTGCAAGGATGTGTATTCAAGCTGACAATGACAAAAATTGGGTTGAACTGGAGAGATAGAGTGCCTGCTTAGAGCAAAGTGAGCATCATCCCTAACCAGAAAACCCAAGGGCTTGATAATGTGACAGAGAGCAATGGTGTCACAGCTGCCTTTGCTGCTCGCACATGATTGATAGTACTGGGACAGCTACCAACACATCAATGCCACATTAGTAAGTACCACTGATTAAATGTTGACAAAGTATCCTACAATTAAGATGGCTAGCATTCACAGAGAAGCTAAGTAGACTACATGGCTGAAAGGATCTTGCTAAATATCACATAGTAATTAATAGACAATTTATGAGTAATCCTGATTAAACTAAATTAAAAACCTACCCAAAATAAACACAGCTCAAACTTAACTTCCCTTATTGACATAAAGTGCTTTTTGAAGACATACTTCGTGGGGGTGTCACTGTATCTAAAAGGGAACAGAGACAAGCTTTGTTTCTACTCATTCAGCTGTATAAACACTGTCAATGTTGACACGGATACTCAAACTCCTCTGAAAGGTGTCCCCCTGCTAATGCTTCAGCCTGATGCTGGTGAATGTCTACCCCTATCTAGGGTGGATATTGACCAGAAATGTACCAGGCTGTTGCCAGCAGAGTTGGACACAACTTCAAACATTTGATCGGAATTCTGCTGCCAAAGATGATAATGGCACCAGTTCCCACAACAGCCTTCCTTGTGTCGCTGCACCTCTACCTTCTGGGGGACTTTGTCAAGGATCAGGACAGATCAGGGGCTTGGGGTTGAGAAACTCAGACTCTTCCTAGAACTGCCTTTTGATGTGCCAAAATCTGGATGGGCAACTGTCAGCACTCTTGCCACAGAAGCTGGGACCCACATTTTCATGTGTCTGCGGCATGTAGAAGGTCCCAGCTGTTACAGGCAAGCTGCACTGGTCCATCACACACCCTCACATGCACTGTCTCCCACCAGAGTCCGTGTATGTAGCTTGCATGTTTGTCCAGCCCCTTGCTGCAAACTAGGACCACGTACAGATTCTTCTGCTACTTTTACTCAGTCACGCTGGGACAGACGTAGTTATTCATGATATGCTGTTGCTTAGCCAGAAAGCATGACCTGACATACATTTCTACAGTGGGTATCACCCTGTCGTGGTTTAAACCCAGTCAGGTAACTTGTTCACTCACTCCCAGTGAGTGGTGCCAAGCTGACAACAATCGAGGTCTGTGTCCCCCCCCCCCCCCAGCGGTTCTCCCCCACTCCCGGAGGAACGGGGAGGAGGATCGAAAGAGTGCAACTCCCACGGGTTGAGACAAGAACAGTCCAGCAACCAATGTACACAAATCACCACCGCTACTATCAGCTAAAACAATGATAAGGGAAAATAACAAGGGAAGAGAATACGATACCACCGGCCAAGAAAGCGAGTTCCACCCGGAAGCCCGTGTCCTTCCGGGTAATTCCCAGTCACCCCCCACCCCGGCCATGACGTGCTGTGGTATGGAATACCTCCCCGGCCAGCTTGGGTCAGGCGCCCTGTCTCTGCTTCCTCCCGGCCCCCCCTCCTCCCTGGCAGAGCATGAGCCTCACAAAGTCCTTGGTCAGGGTAAACATCACTTAACAACAACTGAAAACATCGGCTTCACCAACACTGTTCTCAGGCTGGAAGTCAAAACACAGCACTGCACCAGTTAACACAAAGGAAAAAACATGACTGCTGCTGCTGAACCCAGGACACACCCTCAGCAGGTATCTTGGAGATAAAGCGACTCTTTTTACAATGACTTGTGCTTTGCAGGCTGAAACTAATTTCAGGAGGGGATATGCCCTCCCTCTTCTACAAGGCCTGGAGGACTATGCAGTCAACTGTATGTAAGAGACACTGAACAAGGTTCCAAACAGATAGAAATACTCTTGAATTACTGTGCTATAAGGCATGGCCATACAGGGGCTATTTATGTCAGATACAGACAGAGTTTAGTTAAGACATACATTGCTTTCTACAGCTTCCTGAGGAGGGGATGAGGAGAGGGAGGTGCTGAGCTCTTCTCGGTGGCATCCAGTGATAGGACATGTGGGAATGGATCGAAACTACACCAGGGAGGTTTACACTGGGCATTAGGAAGCATTTCTTTACTGAGAAGGTGGTCAAACACTGGAACAGGCTCCCTAGAGAGGTGGTCAATGCCCCAGGCCTGTCAGTGTTTGAGAGCCATTTGTACAATCCCTTAACAACGTGCTTTAACTTGGTCAGCCCTGAATTGGTCAAGTGGTTGGACAAGATGATCATTGTAGATCCCTTCCTGAAACATTCAATTCATATTTGTATTATATCTATTATATTATAGTCTCATGTTATTATAATTCTATTTTATTTGTATTCTTATTCTATTTTATTCTGTGTGAGGAAGTTAAAAAGCTACCAATGGCTCTGAGATTTATTTTGCTGTATCTGGAAGATACCTCAACCCTGGAGCTACCGGACTGCAGAATGGGATTAGAGCTTCTTGTAGGATGGTTGAAGAGGCATCCCGCACTTTCACCTCCTCAAGCAGCTGCAGTTTTACATCATGCTGCTAAGCAGGCTCCTGTCAAGGTACACTGTATCCAGAACAGACTTCCTCAAGGAAAAACTGTAAACTGCGACATTACATCACCTTACTATAAATTTATGTGTGCCATCACCTACTGTCAGCAAGGGATCAGATACCATTTTCTGATGAATACAGATATCCCTGACTCTCCGCAATAACTGCATGCTTAGTGTTAGCTACAGTATGCATATTTTTCTATCCATAAGAGATACAGCCCCAACAGCACAAGGCTATATATTATCCAAGTACATAGTATGCATAGTAATCAAATATCCATCCTAAATAACTGTCCTGCTTTGGATGGCATTAAGCAAGTCGAAGGAGGGAAGATATGGAAGGAGATGTTTTAATACCAGGAAATACTATCACTGTGTGTTGTGGCTCAAGTTCAGCCAGTAAGTAACTCAGGACCATGCAGCCATTTGCTCAGCCCCTTGCCATTTTCCTCGCTTTAGGCTGGATGGGGAGGAGAATTGAAAGAATGTAAATCTCCCAGGTTGAGATAAGCACAGTCCAATAACTGAAGTATAATATAAAACTACTACTCCTGCTACTACTAATAATGACAAGGGAAATAACAAGGGGAGAGAATACAACACTAAAAAGGGAAACGAAAAAAGAAACAATAAACAGCAGGGATGCACAATACAATCGCTCACCACCCACGACCGATACCCAGCCCGACCCGAGCAGTGATCTGGGCCTTCCAGGTAACTCCCCCCCATTTATATACTGGGCATGATGTGCTGTGGTATGGAATTCCCCTTTGGCTAGTTTGGGTAAGGTGTCCTGTCTCTGCTTCCTCTTGGTTTCTTGTGCGTCTCCTCACTGGCAGAGCACGAGACTGAAAAGTCCTTGATCAGGGCAAACATTACTTAGCAACAACTAAAACACTGGTGTTTTCAGCATTGTTTGCAGACTAAAGCCAAAACACAGCACTGCACCAGGTACTCGGGAGGAGAAAAATAACTGTTACAGCTGAACCCAGGACACTGTGGAAGAGCACAGAAGTGTCATTCAAGATGGCTGTCCCATCAGAAACTGATCCAAGGGAGAAAAAGTCAGCCTTGTTCTCACTGATATGCAGTACAGCATTTCAACCACTGTCGGCAATAATTTTCTGACTCTGAGAAGTCAGCAACAGAGAAGTGGAAATGCATGCTCAAATCTGTGAGCACCAACAGTTAAATACTAAATTAACATTCAAGTTGTTTTTTGGCTCTAGAGAAATAATGCTATGTTGGAATAGAACACGAGGGTTTTTTTTTCATGCAATAAGAAAGATCCCGTTTGGGACTTTAAGCACTGAATTAACAGAGAATCTACTGATCCACTGTATCTGAGCACAAGAAGTCTTCGCAGATGGGAAAGGAAGGCCCCTGTCACTGTCCTGTCTCCCACCTCCTGCTGCCCCACAGCTCCTTTGCCCTGTTAGTGCCAACCCAGAGGACTGTAAGAGCTTCAGTGGCTTTTAGGTGTTACATACATTTTTTTGCTCATGTTGGCTTAGGCTCCACTTTTTTGCTTTGGAAACTTAATCTGACTTTCCCTCTCAGATGACACTTCTGGCATTCATTCTGCGCTCAGATTAGTGAACGTCTCCTGAAGTAAAAGGGTGTGGTGGGAAGTCTCCTGACTACATGGGTGCGTTTGAAGTGCAGAAACTGAATATTGACATTTTCAATGAACTTCAGCGAGTTCTGAGGAAGTCTCCTTGGGCAATGCCTTTTGACTGCGAAATGAGGTCCAGTGGCCACTGCATGCATTAAGCAGTAAAAATTCCAATTGACCTGTACGTGTTTTTGGTAGCAGTTTTCCCTTGATACTTGCTCCTTATGGTACTTAGTGCTATTGGTACTCCAGGAACTACCTCCACCCCATGAAAATACTATGTTAGTAGCAGTAGATGTGCATGAGCTGCAGACATCTGCAGCACTTTTACATTGTTTTTAGTTATTCTTGTGTCCAACCACTTCTATCGGAATGTGCGCTTAAATTTCCTCCAGAAAAATAATTATTTGGTTTGAAACAAGCAAATCAAATATCCCTACTTAGGTTTCTCTGGCAAAATTTCAAGGAA